TTTATGTGTTTAGCAAGATTTTAAACCTAATACAACAAAGAATGTGTTTTTTTTTAAATAAGCCACTTCGAAAAAAATTTTTGTGCCAAAATTATTTATTTTAAAGAGTTTGAATTTTATTACAAAATTTTCTTTGAGTAAAAAGTACGTATGAACATGCAAATAATTGCGAATGTTAGCTAGCGTATGGGTCACTAGAAGCTAGTTTTAATAGTAAACGTAGCTCATTTGATATAGTTTTTAATAAATATCTATATTGGAACAATTAAATGAAGGAAATTAACTACAGAGATGCTTATTTAAAATTTTTTCTTGTACAAAAATGAAGTAATGGGTTACAAAATAATTAAAAAAAAAAATTTCAGCAACTACTCCCAAAAACGTTTGTCCCAAAATTTCTATACGCAAAAATTTCAAAATATTTATGTGTTTAGCAGGACTTGAAACCTAATTTATTAAAGGAGTGTGTTTGTTTTTAATATCAGAAATTATTTCAAAAAATGTCCCAAAATTTATATTTTTAAGATTTCAATTAAATGTGTGTGTTTGGCTTGTTCTGAACCGAATGCCACAATATAAGCTCGCATTTTTGCAGTTTTGGCACAAATTTTGTCTGTCCCAAAAATGTATGGAAATTAAAAAAAAAAACATTTCTGTATTTCTGCAATATTATTTGTTGAGCCAAATGCCTTTTGTACCTTTTAAAAGCAACACTTGTGCGTAAAATAAAAATTCTGCGGCACTCTTTGTTGCTAAAGGGTGTACTGGGCTTTGCGCAGGCATATCAGCAAACATATGCTTAGCTATAGCGCAGCACAACTTGTGAGTCTCTTATCATATACTCATAAGCTGTGTGGGTGTGGGTGTATTCTATGAATATTTATGGGCATGCCTGTATTTACATGCCCGCATATTTGTATAACTTGTGGACGCACAGAAATTTTTACTCAATTATAAAAGTTTCCACATTAAAACTGACAAACTAACAACAAAACTAACCAGAAGAGCCAACTTAAGCAGCAACGCTTGTCATGTGATACACGCTGCTATGCAATTGGGTGTGTGTATACGTGTGTGACTATTTTTTACATATGCACGTGTGTATGCACAAAGTCTTTAGTGGTTGTTGTTGTGACGAATGAATGACTGTGGCGCTGAGTGCCGTAAAACTTTTTGCGTTGCGCAGCTACGGTTTTATTTAAACGAATTTGACTTCTCTGCCCCTCGACGCTTTTTTGCTTTTTTGCTTTTGTTGTGCATTTATGTGTTTTTGTTGTTTTTATGGCAGCAAATTGTTAGCCAACTAGATTGGAAGGACCATAAAAGCACACAGCAAGCGTAGCAATTCAAATTACAATAACCACAGCACAAATAAGTTGCAACAAAAAGTCTGCATAGAAAAAATATAATAACAAAAGGGAAAACGAGCCTAACAACTACAACAACAAATTGCATGGGGAAAATGGTAAATATATTTTATTTGCTACACAAATGACAGCAGCAGTGATAAAAAGCGTGTAAAATAGCAGTTGCTTTGCCTGCAGCTGGGCATGTGCACGCATGTATCACGCTGCTATGTGTATGTGTGCGTTTACGGTTGTAATTGTGTCCATTCTTGCATGCCGAAAATAACTGTTTCAACCGAGTAGCTAAAGAGACTATTCATTTTAGGCGACTTTTTATTTGCCTGGCATTTAGGCAAGATTTGCTCGCTTGCTTATAAACATAGAAACATACTTGCACACGAGCATATAATCAAGCATATGCATGTATAAACACTGTAATGCAATCCTGCAGGAAATAAAAGTTTAGCAATGTTAATATTTACAGCCTGCTAATGAAACTGTGAGCAAAAATGCTTTACTGTGGACAAAACCAAATTTTTGTGCCAAATAAATGAAGCATTTCACATCCGCAAAACACATTTCATTGCGTTGTTTTATTTATTGACATAATTTAGACTTTATTTTTCAAAAATTATTTAATTGTTTGTTGCTTTTGGTGCTCTGATTTAATGCTTTTCATTTACTAGAAAATTAAAACAAAATACTTACGGCGCTAATTGGTACAATGCTTAAGGCGGTATGCTAGTGTATAATTTCAAAAACAAAACGATTTTTTTTTTCATTTTTTCCAAGTTTGACTATTTAAGAATATGTCTACGATAGGATTTTTGTAAATTTAAATTATTTTCGGAGATATAGACATTTTACTGACACGGCCTCCAAACTGGTGCGGCTGCGTCTAATCGCACAAAAGACTTTACGCGAAACTTTAAATGCGTTATTCTCAGACCATGCTTTTTCAAGCATACCCACGATTTCTGGAGTTCTACAAGACCGATTTATTTGAAATTTTCAGAGTATCTACTTTCTAGAACTCTATCGAGTATATCCCAATTTTAACTATTTATTTAAAAAATACATTTTTAAAACATTTTTTTACTTATCGCTAGTTCATACAATTGCAACATCATTGCAGATTGATAATCTTTTTTTTTATTTCTTATGACTAGGAGGGTTGAAATCGTAGGTATGCTCATCTGCCAATTTGTTGAGACTCGCCACTTCAACAGCTGCCAGTTTTTTAATTTTTTTTTTTAATTTTTTTTTTTAATTTTTTCTGTACTCTTGTTACATTAATAAATAAGGGATAAAAAAATTTATAGTAAAAATATTGATTGCCTTTTTTTACGACACTTTAATGTAATTACCTAAAATTCATGTCTCTAGACTAGAATACCTTAACAACTTTTGCGAAGAAAATAATATAAGGGATATTTTGGAAAGTGTTTTCTGATGAAAAATGGTAACAATTGTGATTTTTTTAGTAGTAATATTATAAACAAGTATTTTATTAGAAATTTATATTAGCATTTTGTGCTCAGTTCAAACTAGTATATTAAACAATTATAAATACGCTTGATTTTAGGACAAACAAACAAAAAAAAGTTTGGGAGACACTGTTTTCGAAATTTTCAAAGCATTTGGCACAGTAGTTCGTGATCAAAGCTTTTTGATGTGTTTGTATGGAACTTGCCAATTAATTTAAATAAAATTGCAACGCTTTTATAATTTTGGGACAATTAAATTGCTGAAATTTCTGTGAATAAACTTAAAAAAAAAATGCTGTTGATAGTTGAATTAGCTATTCAGTAAAATAATATGAAATGCAAATGAATTTGGAACAAATTGTATTGAACTCAAAATTTTGGGACAGAAGTAAAAACTTGGTTTGCAAGCCCGTAAATGTCTAATAAACATGTTACCATTTTATTTGTACTAAAAACATTTTTTTATGTTTTGGAACAACATTTTTTTTGGAAATTTTCGTAATTTTTTGTTTTTAAGTTAATATTTTTAAATTTTAAATTCAATGCTGTACTTCAAGTTACCTATAAGTAAAATTGTGTAGACTTTGCTTTGTGGTAGTCTTCGTTTCCCACTAAAAGGGTTTCAAACTAATTTTGAAGTTCCGTCTCATATGCATAACAACCGTTAAATATTATAATTTGAAAGCCGTTGAATTTCAGTTTCCACAATTAAGCTAGTGAGACGTGACCAGTAACAAAAATTTCCTAGAACTCCATGCTACCGGCATTTAGCGGTAATTCACTTTAAAAGTTACCACCATTTGAGGTTGCAAGGGCACACACACCTTAAGTAAAGCCAGCTGTCCGTCGTTGTTGTACATGACAACTAGCAAAATGTCTCATCAAAACACATATATACTTATATACACAAAGACACATACGCCTGCATAAAAGTTGTACACGCATGTCTATATGTAAAATTAAGCATTAGCATGAAAGCTAATGAAGGGTCCGGATATAGCGGAACGTGCGGTCACAGCCTCGGGCCGCACGTGTGTCAGCCGCGCGAATGTGTGTCTGTATGTGAGTTTGTTTGAGTGCCGCAGCGCGGGGCTTAAGTGTCGGCATATGTGCAAACTTGGACTAGCGCGACATACAAACGCAGGCACACAAGCACACACACACTAAGATAAATTGAGCTTCACACTTAGTGCCCAACTTTGCCCCTTCGGCGTTGCCGTGACTTCGCAACAGTTGACCGACGTTAAATCCTAGCAAAATATACCCGGCTGACCAAATTTACACACACACACCCAGCTTACAAGTGGCTCAATGTGGCATGAATGCTTGTGCGCGTGTATGTGTGCGTTTATTGTCTGTCTTCATGGCGCTGCCTCGGTGGCTAAATTACGGCAAAGTATGGTATTTAGTAACAGTTGCTTAAGTGGCAGATTCGCTAGCGGAAATGGGCCTGTAGCTGTTGGAAAGCCTGAAAGGGTATTTACATATATATACATACATACATACATGTATGAGTATGTGTGTGTGCATAATCATACATAAAATATGTAGATTTGCACGTCGTGTATATGTTTATGTCTACATTAGCATAACAAAGCAGGCAACATACTACACTTAACGCAAACGAGTCTGCGGTGACCCAGTAGGAACGGGACGAAGAGCTTCAGAAAGCTTAAATGTATTGAATGTTCGTTAAGGAAAGCTTTGTCATAGTATCACTCGACATAGCAGTCTGCTAAGCCCACCAAATGAATTTTCACGTAACAATTACAATAAATCAAATCTTACGGCGCGAAAGAGGTGTTATAGTTCTACAATTGCCTGGCAATGGAAAGCTCTTTGAACTAAATAGAGCAAACAATGCCACAACTAAGTCAGCAATGTCCTATTGGCCACATACAATTTCAATTGCCTTCCTGTCGCTATGCAATAACCTCTTCAAAGCGAGCATTTCATAAAATCCACAAGGCGTGTCAAAGTAACCACAGACAATCAAATCTGGTGCGAGTGTAATTGCATTCTTTGAGCTGCTTCGAAAATGAACTTACGGGTTTCATAACTGAAGCGTCAAATTAGGTCGTTGCGAGTTGATAAATTATAAAAACAGAAATAATTCGATTTGTATGCTATTTTCAATGTACTAAATGTCTCTCTTTTTTCTTTCCAGGTTATGGCGGTATATCGCCGCGCACGCAGTGGGGCCGCATCGCTGCACTCATCTACGCGCTCTTCGGCATTCCCATCGTGCTGCTGTACCTATCCGCCATGGGTGAGGGTCTCTCCGCCGCAATGCGCTGTCTCTTTCGCAAAGCGCGCTCCAAAAGCGCCGTAAGCAGTGGCAGCGGAGCCGGTAATACAGGCAATAGCGGTAGCGGCAGCGCTAACAGCGGCAACGGCAAGTTGCCACCGAATGATAGCGGCAAAGGTGCGAACAAACATTATCATCACAGTGGCGCTGGCAGCGGGAAGCTACATTCCGCCGCTGCGCATCATTACGGACTGCCCAAACCCGCCTATCACCACAACGGCTCAATGGGTATGGGCATGCACGCGTCGACACACAGTCCCAGCGTGCCCATCTCCATATGCGTCATGGTGCTGGTCTGCTACGTCACCTCTGGCGCAGTGCTCTTCCACAAACTGCAAAACTGGAGCGTATTAGAGGCGCTTTATTTCTGCTTCACGTCGCTGGGCACCATCGGCTTCGGCGAACTGGCGCCCACCGGCAACCTCACGCTTTATCTCGCCTCCGCGTATATACTTGTCGGTATGGCGGTGGTGGCCATGTGCTTCAGTCTCATACAAACAGAGATCGTAATGTGGCTGCGCAAGTTTAGCGTACAGGACCACGTGATGCCGCAGGGTGAAGACGTTGCGCTCGTCTCCGTGGCAGTTACGCCGAAGTCCTCTTGACAACGACCCGCTGCTGAGCTGCTCGCTTTGAGCGGTGGCGGCGGCGGCAACGGCAGCAATGGCAACTCCAATATGCCGGCACAACTTGGCGGCTTTGGCGGTAACACACTTGGGCATCACCAGACGATGTTCTTCGGACCGGCGCATACACTCACACAGTACAGTTCGCTGCCACGGCGCTCGGCGGCTTCTGCTTTCCAACGCAACACACCCATACGTCGCTCCACGGGCATACCTGAGCACCACATGGAGTACTTCGTGCCGCGCAGCGTAAGTGAGTTCAATCTATCGGGCGTCGGTGATTTGGCGCTACCACCGGCACGCCGTTACTCTCCGACCATACAACATGGCGGTGGCGGCATGGGCATGGGTGGTGGTCTGCCACACGCTCTGCAGCTGGGTCCACCACAGACGCTCATTTGTACCGGACAACCGCCTCCACCGCAGCAAATGCAGATCATTATGAAGCCGCGTGAGAAAATGGTCACCTTTGAGGACGAGTCGAAGGCTATGAATGCGGCAGCGGCGGCGGCAGGTGTGAGCACATCGAATGCCAGCACAGCGACGCATTGTCCACACGGCGTGCCGACGACGCCACGTAAAGCTGGCGGCATGGTCGGCGGTGGCGCTGACGTCTTTATGTGACGCGAATCGCTGAGATGACCGCACAGCTTGCTGCTAAGCGACAAGGCAGGTGACGATGCTGCGATAGCATACGCGGCCATGGGCGCTGCCAACATGCTGGATGACAGCTTGGGTGGCGTCACAGCAGGCGCGACCTCCACAGCCAACGCAACGACGGCGGCGAGCACAAGCGCGCACAGCGCTGGCCTAGATAGTGACAACGAGCACGACTCACTGATTGGCAGTCTCAGTGAACTGACGACCAAGTCGAAATCGACACCAGGCGACGTGATACGCGTGTGAGTGTGTGGCAACAGCATGTTTTATACTAAGCTAAGGCTAAAGCGAATATTCATCAGCACAACTTCGAGACTCATAATGTAAATGCAAGTCAAGCAAAATGTAAGGGTGGGTGCATGTTTTGAACTGTGCGATTGTGCGTGTCTGAAGCATCTTGGGGTTAACTTTAACGCTTGAACGCCAATTGATGCGTCGTAGTTTTAGGATAATAAATTTAAAGTTGGTGTAGGCTCTAAGATTTTAGTTAAATGTGACTGAATTAGTATTTGTGATGTGAATGTGGTGCGATAATGTATATTTTTTTTAGTTCTTTATGCTTCGAATTTATACCCTATATACAGTTTGCTATGAAGTTTGTAATAACCAGCAGAAAACGGCGGGGTCCTAAAAATTATATATACATACAAATGCGCAGCGTGACAAGCTTTGCCATGTCTGTCTGTCTGTATATACGTCAACTAATAACGCAGTTGTTGAGATATGAATCAGAATTTTTTCATACATGCTTTTCACACCAAGCAGCTGCTTCTTTGTTGGAATCGCCAAAATCGGACGTCTATAGCATATAGCTACCATACAAACTGAACGTTCAGAATCAGGTTCTAGTAAGGAAATGTTTTTTGTTTTGTAAATATATCTTCATGAAATTTGGCACAGGCTATTATCAAAGGCAGTGCCACAATCTCTTAACAAATTGTTCAGATTGGAGCACTATGGCATATAGCTGCCATACAAACTGTTCAATTAAAATGAAATTATTGTACACATAGAAAATTTTATTCTTTGTTTTGTAGCATATTCTTTCTCAGCACGCTCTTGAAGCTCTGTGCATAGCACTACTAGAAATATATACACCAGAATTTCTTTAAATAGTGCTATATATAACTAAAATTATTTCAAATTATTTCTGAAAAATCCAACCAACGATTTTTGCCCAAAATTGCCTGTGAATTTTCGTCCTTAATGTATTGTAGCATGACAACTCACTAATTAACAAACAATCAGGTTTGCGAAGCGAAAACTCGACAAATGCAAATTTCGCATTAATTTAAATTCAAATACATACCGTTATTGTGGCTGCCAAAGATCATACAATTAAGATACGAGCAATTATATGAAATAATACCCAGTGTGTGTGTGTGTGCATATTCCGTAAATGAGACAAGCACAAGTATCGCAAACAAACAGCAGAAATATTTCAACTAGTTGGCAACGCCACAATCACACTTTCGCACACAGACAGACAGACACCAACAGCAGCCACTAAATTTGCCACATTTCATGTAATTAAAAAGCCATGTGTTTTATATTAACATAAATGCCACATGTGTATGTTGTGTGTGTGTGTGCTGGTTTATTTGCTGCAAGTAGACATATAAAAATTGCTTACATAAATTTAATTTAATTAAATTGAATAATGTTAACCGAAACTAGTTAAAAACTGAAGTCGGTCAACCGATTGGACAACTTCACTGCACGCGTACAGTCACATAAATACAGTTTATACAGCACGCTTCGTTTGTGTTCGTGCAATTTGTTGTATAAATGTGTATTGTGTGCCAGTAATGAGGTGAGCCGGCGACAGCGTTGGCATATTTCTACGCAGCTGACCCTCACAGCCGCAAATAACTGTATATTTTATATTTCTGATTGTTGTAGCATACTTCGCGGCGCATACTTGCTAACTGACCACTTCAGCTGCCTGCCAACATACACAAACACGCATACACATGCAAGCGAGCTGTCCGGGAAATGATAATGAAAGATTCAAGCTGCCACACAGCCTGCACACCCAAACCGACAAACATACTCGTATATGTATATTTATACTCCACATGTACTGTGTGTGCGTGTGTGAGCTATGCATTTATTTGCGTCTAAGCATACTTTGCGGCGCACTGTCTACACTGTTGCCATTGTGGTTTTGACACAATTCTTTCAGTCTTATGATGTTACTGTCTTCAAGTGACTTTTGAGATGTCTTATTAGGCGGCAGTCGCACACACATAAACACACATGTTTGCACTCATACATGGAAGCTGCCAGCCCAGCTCGAGATATGAAAAGATTTATGAATTGCCTGTGATAGGACGCAGTCCGTCGGGTTAGCCACATAAACTGACTTTTAGCCATGCACTTGTGCGTGTGTGTGTGTGTGGGCATAAGAATTTCTCGCATGTAATTCGGTTAAGTTGGCTTTGAGTTATAGACCTGCTAGTAGTGCTCTAACACAGTTTATTAGTTTGAAAAATGGTTGGCGAGAATATTTGAATTTTATTAAAATGCTTTCAAAATATGAGCGTAATATTTCGGCAATTTATTTTTGGCATAACTAGGAAATATTCACATATTTTGTCAACAGGTGTTAAAGATAATACTTTTGGTTATAAGAAAAAATTTAGTTGAAAAAAATTAAAAAAAAAATATTAAAAAAATAAGAAACTTAATAGTAAATTAAGTATATATTAATATATTTAAAAAAAAATAAGAATTTTTTTATGATTAATTTAACTATAGAATTATTTTTATATAATTTTTATTTATTTTTTTAAATTTTGTACTTTAAATAATTTAAAAATATTAAGAATTTCTTCTTTATAATTAATTTAATTATAAAACTATTTGTATATAAATTTTGTTAATTTTTTTAACTTTAAATAATTTAACATATCTCATAATAATGTAAAACGGATCCACATATTGAAAAAAAAAATAAAAATATTTTTTATATTTTATAATTTTTTTAAGCTAATTGTATTTATTTTTTTCATCGTATAATTGGTTTTTTACATAAATGTTATACAAATTATTTTTTATATAATTTTTTTTTTTAATTTTATACTTTATATAAATAAAAAATATCGTAAAAAATCTATACGCATTATACACTCCAATTTTTTTGAATATTATATTAAATAAATTAAAAATATTTTTTTTTAATTTTATAATTATTTTTACTTGAATTATATTTATTTATTTCATCATAAAATATATTTATTAAATTTCACTTCACTGCATTTCAAATAACTTACGAAGAACTCATAAATTAGTAAGCGCAAACAACTACAGTTACTGTTTACCAAAAGTTTTTATTTTTACTTTTTTTTGTGCACTTCTATGCGCTGCTTGACCCACTGTCGTTGCATTGCCACTCAAGACACAAATATCGTACTCAGCGAATTCCAAGTAGTTGGGCGATATGCTCAGCCACAGTAGGACATCAGTAGCTACTACAACAAAACTAACAACTACCAGCTCACAGAGTGCAAACACAAACTAAAAATAGCAAAAGAGAAAGAAGTAGAGAAAACAAGCGAAAAATACCAGAAACTTGACTAAACTAACACACACACATATACATAAATATACAAGTATATGTGTATATGTGTGTGTGGAAAGATACATTCCAGTGTGCGGTGGCGAGGAGTTTCAAGTGAATTGCATGCAACTGCCACTTCACCGTCTAACGGAGACCGCCATTACACGTAAGCTCGCATGTTGATTACGTATGCGACATGATGTACTACAGGCTGGCTGGGCTTGGCTCGGCTTGGCTCGGTGTGGAATATGCTTGAACTGTTGAAATTTCGCAGGCGAATGTTGACATGTCGCACACACGCAAGCGTACACTCACTTATCTGCATATATATATATGAGTGTGTGTGTGTGTGCGAGCAAGTTGCAAACCAGAAGTGCTCCAATTTCTTTGCTATTTTCGTTGTGTAAAGGAGGTGAAGTGCGAAGTGAAGTGATGTGATGCGTCGCAGTCATCACTGTTAGTGCTATGTTTGTTGTTTCTGTTGTTGCTACTCGAAATACAGACTGCTCGTGTTGGATGGAGTAAATTTTCATGCACTGCTGCAGACAGCAAATATGAAAGCAGAAATGAAGACAACCAACTGAGCTTGCTGGTAATGCGAAGCAAAGCCAACGTTTGCAAAAAGCAAAAACAAATCAGTTGAAGGCATAAAATGAGAAAATAAAGTTTGCATAGTTTTTGGTTCTTTCTTCTGTGTTTGAACATTTCAGTGGTTGTTGTATTATAAGCAATAGCAATTGTGCAAAAGAGTTCTTTA